GATCTTTATAGCGGTAATTTTGACTTGTTTATCACCAGAGGTATGTTATGAATATTTTTGGTTTATTCAAAAAATTCACCTTGGATGTATGCAATCATAAATATTTTTTTCTCCTTCATAGATGATTGCTCGTTTGGCAAGAGTAGTGGTGATTAAAATCTGAGTCGAGTCGAGATGGAGTTTAGCACTTTATTTCGCAGCTTCAAGCTTGTAGGTCGGGAAGCCAGAGTCTCGAAGCTCGATCTCATCCCATTGAAAATGAGCTTGAAGCCAATCTCGTTTGAGCACACCTCTGAATTTTGGTTTGTTTTCGCCCTGTCTAGTTTCAAGTTCCTGCATAGGTTTCCTCGAGCACGATTTTTTGTTCTTCTGCACGATTTTACAATGGTTCGCACTGGGTTTTAATTTTCTTGCCCGTGTTCTTCATTTAGGAGAAAAAGAAGGCTAAATAGTTCTGTGCGATAATAAATGTTGTGCTTTGGGAAGCATTATTTAAATTAAAGCTACTCAAAATTGGGCACAAGCCTGTTGAACCTTGGTTGCAGTCGTATTATGTTATTGTCAAATCCTAGGATTACTTCTCTCTGGTGACAAAGAGGAAATGTTTAGTGGCCCGGGCTTGGCTATGGCCCACTTGGTCTGTTTGGTTCCTCATCAGAGTGGCCAACATGAATATCCTTTTATAAAATGCTGGAGATCCAATGATATGACCCACCCAGCCTAGAGTTTGTCACCAGGTCAGGCTTGGTTATAATACCATGGTTTTTGTTGTTTTGTGGCTCGTGGATATAATATAATTGATTAGTAAATGCTACTACCGGTACAAATGAACTTCAAACCTTCTAATGTTGCTCATGGCTATAGAGATGATATGGTGGAGTTCTAAGGTGTCCCTTAAATTATTTTATTTGGTAGTCTCCAGGCTCAACCAGAATTTAGAGGTTGTGTCTTAGGTGTTTACGTTTTTCTTTTATTAATTGATATTTGAACATCATTATCATTGTTATCGTCATTAGCTTTATCCCAACTCCTTGCCGTTGTATGCTACAGGAGCCTTATCAATTAATGGGTGCAACAGTGTCGTCTCCAATTGATGATTATAAAAAGGCTGTGGCACCTATCATCGAGGAGTATTTCACCACAGGAGACGTGGAGCTGGCAGCTTCTGATCTCAGAGATCTTGACTTGGATGATTATCATCATTATTTTATTAAGAAACTGATTTCTATGGCAATGGATAGGCATGCGAAGGAGAAGGAAATGGCATCAGTTTTGCTTTCAGCTTTATATGCTGATGTTATTAGTGCAAGCCAGATTAGCCATGGTTTTATCATACTTCTGGAGTCGGCAGAGGATTTGGCAGTCGACATACTTGATGCAGTTGAAGTCTTGGCTCTTTTTGTTGCCCGAGCTGTTGTTGATGATATTATACCTCCTGCATTTCTCAATAGAGCGAAAAAAATGCTTCCTGAAAATTCTAAGGGGCTTCAGGTTATTGAGACTGCTGAAAAGAGCTATCTTTCAGCTCCTCATCATGCAGAGTTAGTGGAGCGCAAATGGGGAGGTAGCACCCACCTCACTGTTGACGAGGTGAAAAAGAAAATATCATATCTATTGAGAGAATACATTGAAAGTGGAGATACAGCAGAGGCCTGCCGGTGCATCAGGGAATTAGGTGTCTCATTCTTCCACCATGAGGTTGTTAAACGGGCTGTTACCCTTGCCATGGAGACACCAGCATCTCAACCTCTTATCTTCAAACTTTTGGAAGAAGCTGCTGAAGAAGGTCTAATAAGCTCTAGTCAGATGATTAAAGGATTCTATCGTCTTGCTGAGAGCCTTGATGACTTGACTCTTGATATTCCTTCTGCCCAAGCTATTTTCCAGCAACTTGTACCAAAAGCAATTTCTCAAGGTTGGCTTGACCCTTCCTTCAAGTTCCCTGACGCTGATAAGGACTCCAGTGATGTAGAAGATGAGAAGATAAAACGATTTAAGGAAGAATCTGTAATCATTATTCATGAGTATTTCCTTTCAGATGATATACCAGAACTTATTAGAAGCCTTGAAGATCTTGCTGCTCCACAGTACTATCCTATTTTCATCAAGAAACTGATCACAATTGCATTAGACAGGAAGAACAGGGAGAAGGAGATGGCATCTGTTCTACTATCAGCCCTAGCGATGGATATTTTTTCTATTAGACGTTATATCAAGATCTGTACTTACCGTTCTTCATTTTTTATTTTTTTGTCCAAGCAGATATTCTGTTTCTTGCTAGGGCCGTCATTGATGATGTCTTGGCTCCACTAAACCTGGAGGCCAAAAGGAGATCAAGAGAAAACTTCTACCAAACTGTAGTGGCAGCGAAACTGTTCACAGTGCCCGTTCTCTTGCTTCAGCCCGTCATGCTGGTGAAAGACTACTGAGGTGTTGGGGTGGTGGTACCGGATGGGCGGTGGAGGATGCCAAAGATAAGATCACAAAACTTCTGGAGGAGTTTGAGAGCGGAGGTGATATGGGAGAGGCTTGCCAATGTATCCGCGAACTTGGGATGCCATTCTTCAATCATGAAGTGGTGAAAAAAGCATTGGTTATGGCAATGGAGAAGAAAAATGACAGGCTCTTGGATCTACTTCAGGAATGCTTTGGAGAAGGCTTGATCACTATCAATCAGATGTCGAAGGGATTCTCTAGGGTCAAGGATGGTCTTGATGATCTAGCTCTTGATATCCCGAATGCCGTGGAGAAGTACATATCTTTCTACAGTTCTTTGGCGCCCTTAGCAATTGAGATGGTTCTCTCCATCAGTAACCTCTCGTCCTCTTCTACAGCAGTGCATATCACCTTTCAATAAGAGCACAGGTTGATATGGCCGGCCACAAGAAGATTTCATTAGCTGAAGTGGCTGCACGGATTGATCCTGGCAGCAGGGAGATTGCTGCTATTGCTCGAAAGGCTCCATCAGTGGCATCAGCTCGCTCAATTGGCATATCCCCGAGCTGCTTGCCGGTCGAAACTTGGACAATGTGAACGACCATTGAAGATTGCAATGGTGTTCTTACCAAGTATAGCAAGGCTCGGCTAAGGAGACTTGAGGATCATGTATGGGTTGGTGGATGATGCTTTCTGTTTTAATGGTATAAGATCTAATTTGATTTGTGTTATAGAGAAACATATATAGTTGATCTATATGTCAATGTTGGTGATGTTCTATTGTTTACAGATGTTTGATAGTTTGTAATCCCGGCCTTTGCCATGTTGGGTGCGCTCGCATGGCAGGCCAACTATCTTTAATAAGATTTATTTTTTTGTGGGAGTGGGAGATCGTACGGGGTAATTTTGCACCCTGGGTTCTCCCACGTGCTTCGTCTCTTGGTTTTACTGTATTATCTGCTTCGTACGTTCCTACTCCTGTGAGCTCATTTATCGGATGCGACGACATAATTTTCACATCGCAAGGTATACAACCAATAGATTTCTAGTTTGGTTTACTGCTATTTTCAAAGGTATACCATCGCTCTATAACAAACATAAGGTATATCCGAGGCGGTTAAAACTAGCTCGAAGATATAGTTTACTTCCGAAGAGAGATTATTTTTCCAACTATTTTTTATTACTGATATTTAATCGTTTTTTAAATGGATTAATGTAATATTGCTCTATGAATGAGCCAATTAGAAGAAACAAATTTTACTGCAATCTTAAATGACTTTTTTGCTAGGATGGATTTTAAAAAACTTTATTTTGCATAAATCCTAATTTTTCTTGCAAAGTTCCTGAAGTTATCGTTTTTGTCAATGAACCATTTCACCGTCTATGCTCCCATACGTGCTTCACCTCACCACAACAGCCGAAATATTGAGTACTCTGTCAACAAGATTGCAGCCGACCAACAGATCAAGAGTGATACAGCTGAAAAATGAACTACATTGCATTCAAATGAAGGATTCCACAATGTCTGAGTATTTATCCCGAATAAAACAGCTTGTTGACGGAATAGTAGCAGCAGTTTCCCACATAGACTCTGAAGACATCATCATGTACATTTTAAACGGCCTACCTCCTGCATACAATTCCTTTAAAACGACGATTCGCACCATTCCATAGCATTTTACTCTGGACACTCTATATCCATTATTATGCAGTGAAGAAATCCAAGTTAACAATGATTTCCACAGAAATTCTTCACAGGCCACGGACACCACTACATTATATGCTGGGAGGGGACGAGCAGGTAGATCCAGAGGCAACTACAGAGGTGGTCGCGGAAATTCACCAAGGCCAGTGTATACCACGCCTAATCGTACCCAAACCACTACAGATTCAGCTCGGCCAATCTGCCAAATCTGTAGCAAGCCCGGCCACACCGCGCTGACTTGTTGGCATAGATGCAACTTGAACTATTCATCTTCAGCCCCCAATCACTCCTTACTCGCACAACCATCCACCCCACACAATGCTACTACTGAATGGTACATTGACTCAGGATCGACCTCTCATTTGACATCCGACATCAATTATTTGTAGAACCCACAACCATATGCTGAAACTGACTCCATCTCCATTGCCAACGGGACGTCTCTTCCCATTCATTCCAGTGGCCAAGGCCTTCTTCCATTGCCTAACACTACCCGTAAGCTACATTTACAAAAACTTCTTCATGTTCCCACTCTCACACACAATCTACTATCAATTCATAAACTCGCAACTGACAATAATTGTTCTATCTGTTTTGATTCTCATGGATTCACAATCAAGGACAATCTGACCTCCCAAACAATCCTTAGTGGTCGCTCCAGAAATGGTCTCTACATCCTTCCATCTACTCCAAATTTTGCGCTGCACACCTCTACCTCATCAACCTTGCTGTGGCATGCTCGGTTGGGCCACACGCATCTTCAACTACTTCAACTAATAGCTCGCAATTCTCCTTTAGTTAGATTATCTAGTTCTTCTACTTTCTTATGCAACTCATGTAAAGTGGCTAAAAGCCACAAACTACCATTTTCTATCAATGAAATGCAAACTTCCGCTCCATTTACACTTGTTCATACAGATGTATGGGGACCTGCCCCTATTCCCTCTTTAAATGGTTATCATTACTACGTTGTGTTCATAGACGATTTCACACGTTTCTCTTGGCTATACCCAATGTTCACCAAAGCCGAAACAAACAATAAATTTCATCATTTTATACAACTAATCAAAAATCAATTCAACTCATCAATTAAGACTCTCCGCTTCGATGGTGGCAGCGAGTACACCTCCAACTCCTTCAAACAACTCCTTGCCACTCACGACATTCAACAGCAATTGAGTTGCCCATACACTCCCGAGCAGAATGGCGTAGCTGAGCGCAAGCATCGTCATCTTATTGAGTCAACTCGGTCACTACTTCACGCCTCAAATCTGCCTCTCAAATTCTAGCTTGAAGCTCTACTCACGACAAACTATTTAATCAACAGATTACCCTCTCGAACTCTTCATCTTGACAATCCCTACAATCTACTTCACGGCCATCAACCATCCTACACACACCTCAAAACCTTTGGATGTCTCTCCTACCCTTGGCTTCTCCCTCTCTCACCCAGTAAACTTCATCCATGCTCGACAGCCTGTATATTCCTTGGCTACTCCTCCACCCACAAAGGCTATCGATGTTATAATCCTAACACCTCAAAAATTCACATTTCCCGCCACGTCCTATTTCAAGAAGACCAATTTCCCTCCATCTCTTCCTCCGTCACCATACCTACACCTCCTCCTACCACAGACTCTACTCCACTCACGCTCGTTCCAGTCTCCACACTATACCCTCCTTCCAATTAATATTTTAAACTAATTTTATTTTAAAATTATAGATATTATTTTCAAAAATTTTTAATATATAACACTAATATTTTTAATTTAAAAATAAATTATAATAATTATTTAAATAAAAACTTTTTTAAAATTATTTAAATATTATTAAAAAAAATAAAAAAACGACAGCGGCAGCTCTCGGGCTGCCACTTGGCACGGTGGGATTGGGTCCGCAGTTTTGATGCAATCATTACCAATGATTGCACCACCGCGCAATCATTACCAATGATTGTTGCAACACTGAATTCAATGCAGTCCACTAAACCATGTTAGACAGGCGCGTGGATCGTCCGATCTCCCGCGGTATGAGACAGACTGTCCAGATCTTGCCGAACAGTGATCGTATCCACAAGATCTGATTCTGCGGCCGATCTGAACCGCAGAACTGCTGGATCTTCACCGTTGATCACATGATCAATAGTCCTAATCATCCCTATTTAAAGGCGGATGTAACCCGAACCCTTGATCGATAAAATGCTTTGTTCTCGCGATTAGGTGCACCAAATCACGTGAAATTTAAATATATGCTCTATACATGAAGAGTATTCATGGAGAAGTAACTTTGCATTTTAAAACGCACTATATGAAAAGTTATATTGATAAGTTAGGTGACCTACGTCTAGGGTTTTTTTAGCTTTTTTATCGTTGGATCTTCAAACTCTTTGCACGGTTGAGCTTGTAGACTGTCATCGTATAAATCTCTAGTTGAAACCGCAACCAAACGAGCTCTGGATAGAACTAATTTGGCCTTGGAATGATTTTGACCCCGGTTGGCCAGGAATCTTGTCGCCGGTGAGGGTTTTGACTTGGAAAGAGTGGGAAGAAGTTGGGGGAGTCCTCACACAAGATCTTTCGGCTTGGGAGGGCTCAAAGAGAGAGACTGCAAGATCCCCTCTAATGAACCTTAGAATCCCTATTTAAAGAACCCAAGCTTATGATGGATGGTTGGGATCAAATCCCTAATGAATTAGGAGGGAAATTAAGCTATATGGATGGGATTTGGGTGGAGAGCTCAATAGGAAGGATTTAATTCAATTAAAAGGCCTTAATTTAACTTAAATATGTCAAATTTGACCATGTAAGACTTGGGTTGACCAAGTATAAGGTCAAACCTGTGGGTCTCCGAAAGGATTCCGCTCACGTGGTTCGAATGCAAAGAGTACGATCACACTATTCAGTAGGACAAAGTGTTCGTAGACCTTTACAATTAACACAAGCAGGCCGATGGAAGAGCAGATGGAGTTATAGATATGATTAGCCATGGAGGATAGCGGCTTTACCTACCAACCTCGATGAATAATAATATACATAACCCAAAACTTCACGAGATTTCCCCCATTCGATACATCAGCTCGAATGGTGTTTTTTTGATTGTGGGGATCGATTTCCTACGGGCGCAAGCCCCCGTAGTTAATTACATCTTAAGCCTTGACTTAGGAAAACTCTCAATTAAGGATGATATATTATTCACTTCTTAATTTGGTGCGCATAAAAAGTTCCTAAGTTCTATTCCAAAGAATCTCTTCTATTTATCTTTAATAATGATTAGACCTTTTTGAATGGATAAAGATATGATTAAAATTTTGAGTTTAGAAGATCAAAAATCAGATTACTATCCCAAAGGAAATGACAGACTCAAAACACAGATGAAAGGAGACACACTAAGGGGTGTACAACCTGGACTTATGCTTGCCTGGAGTGAGCTGCTAGCTAACATCCTAAACACAATCAATCGCCCTATATGTATATAAGATAGGAAGGCTCTATCTTAAAAAATCAAGGATGTGTAGTTTAAAAGGTTTCAATCAGTGACTCTATAATATGCAAAAGAGTATACCTAACGTTGTATGATGCATGAAACAGACACAAAATATCCTTAAGTCTACTGATGTAATGCATGTATGTGAGTGAAGAGCAATGCGAAGTAAGGTGTGTAATAGCAAATGCATGTATGACATCCATAATACAGAAAAAAAATAAACACACTAGATA